TGCCAACTCTGAACGCTGCTCAAGGCCCGAAACGTTAAGTAAAATTGCGAAATTGGAGTGTTCGGTTTACGCCTACTTTAGTTCGTAAGTAAAAACAGCGAAATGGAATATAAGTCTGCAATGAGAGTAATATGAAAGGGCAAAAAGTACTCACAGGTGATCAGCATGGTGAGCAATACGGCGAATCCAACCGCCACCAACAACGATATAGTTCCAGTATCCACTTTACCTTGTTCCTCTCCATTCAGCTCTCGCCGTAGCTCTCCTGAATTGACCATTATGAGTGGAAAAGTCTCTCAAGCCTCGACAAAAAATGATGAATTGTTGGTTTTGGTTGGGGTGCAGGTTCGACTACCGCCTCGGGCGAAGAGCTTAGCCCATAACATACCTGGTCGCCATTAGGAATTGGATTTTCACGCATTTTCTGTCAACTTTTATTCTTGGTACAACCACACAAAAGCATTCAATAGGTGCTATCGCAAGATACGGGGCATTGCAGTGGCACAAACCTCTCCTTTTTGTTAAAAACGGATCCAAGCCTCAAGCGGGGTAGAAGAGAAACCAGAGTGCGTGAGGGGTGCTCCATTTCCGTCAAAATCCTGCCTTCTCTTAGACCTAGTCTTAGAGAATGCTCCCGTATCTTGCGATACCACCCACTCAAAAGTTTGAACTCATGTGCGAACCAGGAAAGCCTGGGCTGCTCATGAAGTTTACCACGACCCTTCCGTGCTATCTCTTGAGACAGGGTTACTTTCAAAATTATTCAAGCAGCACTGATTCTCTTGCGAAACTTGAGCTCTAAGCGGGCTTCTCAAGTTCTTGTAATTTGCATTTTTTGCTTCTGATCACACTAAACCCCTTCAAAATACAGGATTTGAAGTAGAAAAGTGCAAGATGTAATGGTTTGTAACAGGTGTCCGGTTGCGTTTGCGACAACTGTCACGTGAAAGTGACTTGCTTGTGAAATTCTATCTGTCACGAACACAATTCATGGAAAGCAAGACCACATTCACATACCGATCACTTGTGATAGAGCCGTGTACCACTGGTCCGTTTGAGCGAGCTCGTTCACCTGGAAAGTAAGACCGGATAGAAAAATTCGAAATGCTGTGAGTTCGCGGAAGAGACCTTGTGAAGAATGTTTCTTTCGCTCCTCAATGGTGACGTACTTCTCAGCTAATCGCGCCGGCCAGATAATCATCTGGAAAGAAATGACGTTACTTGTAGCCATAGTAATAGTTTTAATGATATTTATAGCCTAATTCAGTGATAATCAGCTTATTTTTATGCTTCATACTTAGATCTGAAATTTGTTTGATAAGTTGTGGCTTAACTGCTATCGCATTGCGCATGACCCAATGCTTTGGGCCAGGACCGTGCTGCGCTAAAGGCAACACTACTTCACTGGCAGTATTTAGCCATAGGCCGATGTCAGACTTTGCGAATCGCGCGATTCGCTAGCGTCCGCGGTCGCGTTGCGGTACCAGCCAATTGAGTGATTCACTGGCCGCGACGCGACCGCAGACGCTAGCGAATCGCGCGATTCGCAAAGTCTGACATCGGCCTTAACAAGTAACAATTATACGAATCTTTCATAGGATCAGATAGGCATCATGAAGCGTGAGATTTCCGACACAACGTATACACCATTGTACAGCTCATGCTTACAGAACTTCCTCAAACGTAGGTAACTGTGTCATGGCTGGTAGATGTACTGCAATGATGCTGTTATCGGGCCGCATGGTCCAAGGATCAAAATCTGGGTATAGGCCTCCTCTCTCCGCTTTGCTTTAGACTTTTCTAGGAGGATCGAAACACCTACCTAACCCACGAAAATCATTGGACAGGCCAAATATTCGAAGTGGCATTATGGTTCTGAATGGAAAAAGAATGCGTGGCGCATTCCACAAACGAATGAAACAACGCTGCATCCTTTATTCTCCTTATCCTTTATTCCTTTTGTCGTCATTCTAATATGTAAAGACGGCGTGAAACTCTTAGCAGGCTTTGGCTTTACTCTTTGCCTTGGTTAATTCATACTTTTTCTCGAACTAAAGCAGAACCCTATAAGCGATGTGGTCCTTCGTTATCGGAGAGGCGCCCCGGCGCCTGGACTCGCTTGGAAGAAGCGGAAAGAAAAAGTTCGAAGGGTTTGTAGTTCCGTGCTTGTCGCCCTTCAGTGCCTCTAACCATTGAGAGCTGAGTTGGCCGGTCACTACCACAGCATCGAGTTCCTCACAATTGGAGGCCACAAAATGCGATATTTACCTTTTTATAGTGTTCCCAAACGAAGACGATCACCGAGTTGCCGCAGTCGCCGAGTGCCCATCGCCCCTCCAACGCTCGACAGAAAGATTCGGCTCGTTCGGTGAGCTGGCTGAAGCGGCGAGATAAGGAAATCCGTGCAGCAGCAACTAAGGTAACTCACGCTTCACTCGGTGAATGCATCTGCATTTGAAGATTTTTCACGATCGCCACCGATACCACGAAACCGTGGAAGCCCTCAGTTCCCGTGCCTAAAGTTAGAGATCGTATGCAACGTCTTCTGTGTCCTAGTTTTTCACAAGTTTTTAAACGAAAATTGCTTCAAATCGGAGAGAAACTGTGGTAGCCCAAAAGATTCGAAACAATACACTCGTGATTTCGAGCGATCCGGTGGTTTCGGATACCCGACAGGAAGCCCGCGGCAACAAGGCAGAGTCAGCGGACGAGTCGCGCGCGTACTGTAGGATTTCGCGTCAAGTTAAATAGAATGTACCATTGTACGTCCTACATCGCACATCACGCGCTGCAACTCGTCCGCTGACTCTGCCTTCTTGCCGCGCGACGGGCCTCCTGTCGGATACCCCGTGGTTTGTACGTCAATATGACCACGAATTAAGCCAGCGTTTTACCTGGCATTCCTGTGGTGCATTGAGACCTCCGCTGGCAGTGGCATGGCGTACCAACAGCGAGATCATGAAGTTGGCGATTCAGAGACAAAGCTGCAAATAGAAACGTTTAGGGTAATTGGCTCTTCAGATTTTGGTCAATCTTGACAGCATTATTCCTTTAGATTGAAAAAAGGCTAGAATTCGTCTTTCAATTGCGATTTGTTTATCGTTCAGAGCTTCAATTTCTTTCAGTTCTGCGAATTCACGCCGTAGAGTTACATTGTTTAAACGCGTTTTATTGCTCATAACAATTGTTTTCGTTCGAGGGCCCTTACAATCATCGCCAAAGGATAGGACTGCTCACAAAGTGTGAAGGAGAACAAAGGTTAATAAAATCAGGAAAGGATTTAAGGACGAACTCACGCTGAAAAAGCAACCCATTCCAAATTAACCTAGGGATG